TTGGTACTCATGTCTCTCACTTATGCCGACAAGTTCGGCCATTTTGAATGTTCAGTTAATTTTTGACAGCTGCTTTGCTTGCACGTGTTTTGGCTTGTCTTCGATTTTTGCCTATTCCAAAAAATGGATCAAAGAATCTGTATCAAATTTTGTGTGAAAAACAAAATTAAGTGCGCGGACGCATTCCGAATGTTGACTATGGCATATGGTGAAGCTACCTTAGACCGAAGCAACGTTTATCGGTGTACAAAATGTTCTCAGAAGGCCGAGAAAATGTGAACGACAAAGAGCGTGCCGGACGCCCGAGCACGTCAACAACAGACGAAAACATTGATGAAGTGAAGAAAATAGTGAAGAAAATTCTTGCCACAGGGTAGAACGGTCAATAAGGAATATTACATGCAAGTTATGCGCAATTTGCGCGAAGCAATCCGCCAGAAACGCCCGGATTTGTGGAAGAACAAAAATTGGCTTTTGCACCATGATGAAAAACACCCTTTATTTTTATCACTACTTTATTTTTATTATTATATTTCATATATCATTTTTTTTCCTTTTTTTTATCTTCTTATTCTTATTATTATATAGAAGAGTACGTGCCCGTTCTCAACTTATCACTATGTTGGGTATAGCCTAATGTAATCAATGTTTCCTTTAAATCGATTTGGTGACGCTCGCGAGCATCACCTCCGCTCCGGACATCTAGCTTAATTAGCGCAGCTTCATTTCTTATTGTTCCTAAAATGGACATCCGTCCCTCTTGTTGATTTATGAGGTATCTGATCAGGTCTTGCCTTTCTTGGTCAAGATAAGCCGGAAAAGGGAGCGGTGTGAGCCAATCCACAGGGAATCCCTTGCCATTTTAGCTGGCAAAATCTGTCCTCCAGAATGTATATACCTCGAATAATTGGCGCCCCACATTACGGCCCCAATCTCGTAAAGAGATCGCGACCGTTCCGTCTCCTTTGACGTCCGTTATAATTCCACGCTGCCATCCTCGGTTTTCTCGAATAGTCACGACTTCTCCGATGACGACGTGGTCTGGACAATGACATAATATGTGCCCCTTTCGTCATTCTCCGGGTCAGATCCTCAAGCAGGTACTGCAAGTCTTCGCTGCCGGTTTTCAATTGGACTCAGAACATCGTAGGTGAGTTCACTTTCACGATCTTTACCGCCAATGAGCTCCGCAATAATAGTTTAATGTTAATGCATTCGATTTCCATATCGTCTACAAGAAGGTTACTGTAGTATTTTAAAATGCCTGCATGGCACCGCATGCTATCTTGTTTATTCATATATATATATATATGTATATATAATACTTATTTATCTATTTAATTATTTTCTTATTTATTTATTTATTTATTTA